CACTCTTCCAGTCTATTTGTTTTTTTTTTTTAAGATTTTATTTATTTATTTGACAGACAGAGGTCACAAGTAGACAGAGAGGCAGGCAGAGAGAGAGGAGGAAGCAGGCTCCCCGCCGAGCAGAGAGCCTGATGCGGGGCTCGATCCCAGGACACTGGGATCATGACCTGAGCCGAAGGCAGAGGCTTTAACCCACTAAGCCACCCATGTGCCCCCCAGTCTATTTGTTTATCCCTAGATAGAGTCACGCACAACAGGAAGACTTCTAGGATTAATTGTATGCCCTCAAATGATCACAGTATTTTGTTGACGTCTTTTCTTCTCAGGACCCTTCATGATCTTTCATTCTCTTCCTGTGGCCTAAATGCTGATATTATTCAGTGTTCTATCTAGAGCATTCATTTGTCCTTACTCTATATTCTACCAAGATTAGGTCTTCTATTCCCTTCACTTCACTCTTTGTAACAATGACCACCATCACTCCTGCTCCAAACCTGTATCTCCAGGATGACCTACCTCCTGAATGGTTAATTAGTTTTTCCACCTAAGAACAATACCCCTGAGGAAGAGCCTTCAGACCCCTCAAAGTCAATACATCCAAAAAAGTGCATTTTCTTCCCTGCCCAAAGCCCTCCTCTAATCTACTTTTCTTAATAAATTTTATTATGATGCATCTGAATACTGAAAACAGGAACCTCAGAATCTCTCTTACCCATTTCAAATCATCTGCATCCAAATCTATCCCCTCTCCCTCCCCATTGCTATTATCAGACCAAGCCCATTCTACTAAAGCATCTGGGCCCCTCTTCTCCAGTCTGACCTTTCTCTGGCCAAGCCTCACCTGTTTCTCTTCTGTTTAAAATACCACCTTGCTCATAGGTTTTTGACAGCTTCCCACTGCCTATTATTGAAACTCTATGTTGCATATTATGTAGAATGTACACAATCAGGCCACAGCCTACCTTTCTAGTCTCCATTTGCCCTGGGCATATTCCACATTCCAGTCACACCAGTCCATTTGCCATTTGCTAATGTGTTCCATGACTCTCTCATTCAGGCTCCTGTCAGAAAACTGAAATGGCACTAGGGATTTCAATAGAGAGAATTCATTAAAGGAAACAGTTTAACAGGTGTTTTGGAATTTAGAAATGAGAAGAGGACACTTAAGTCCCTCAGAGATAGTAGTAACTGTGTATAAGCAGGAAATAGTACCACTCCTGGGCAGAGGGATCACAGGAAAGAGGATGGATTATTAGAAACTAAAAGGACAGAGGGGAGACCCCACAGACATGGGGGGACATAATGCTGGGCTGCTGACTTGTACCTCTGAAACCTGGGCAGGGGCCCTTAGAGCTAAGCTCAAACCTGTAGGGAAGGAGCACTGCTAGGTTGGTGCAGGAACCTTCTAAGGGGGAGAATAAAGCTGGTTCTGAATAAAGCTATGCACCGGGATCAAATGCTGCTCCTGGGGTGAAGGGGCATCATGGGGCAACACTGAGGAAGAGCCATCAAATGGGAGAAAGGAAATCCCTTCACCTTCTCTGGTGCTTCTAGTGCTCCCTGTTGGTGGAAGCCGAAGACAAAGTGCAGAAAGAGGGTGCTTTTAGAGTTGAGAGACAATTGCTTAATAACCAGCACTCTGCACTTGCAAGTCTCCCTGTCTGTACTCATACAGTTTCCCCATCCATAATGCTCCTTCTACCAATATCTGCCTGGAGTGCACTATTGTTCAAATACAATCTCCTTTTTAGAATCTTTTCTAATTTTCCCCCAAATAATTATTTACACTAGCATCTCAGTTCCCCTGGCGTTTTGCAAATGCTTCCTTTACAGTCTTTTTTTGGTGTCATAGTTATTTCTGCATGTTCGTTTTATTTGTTTTCTGCCAAACCGTGGGCTCCTTTAAGGCAGGTAGAGTTACAACCATACAATCGAGTGGGGTTGCCTGGCATACAACAGATGTTGGCTGAAGTGGATGGAATTGATAAAGGCATGCTAATGAAATTATTATTAGATCATGTCCTGCCTATATTTTATCTTCCCAACCAGACTTGAACTCCATAGGAGCAGGGATCATGCCCTATCCTTTTTTTTTTTAATATGTTCATGGTGTTTAGTACAAGGCTTCCTATGCTGAAGAAGAGGTCAGTGATATTTGTTAGCCAACTAGTTTATTCATTAAGCACCACAAATTTGGTACAAAAAAAACATGAAGACAGAGGATAAATTCACGAATAGCAGGTAAGATTTGTAGTTAGGTTCAGATGTGCATCTAGCACCTGATTCCAACAGAATGCTGTACATAACTGTGATATTCTGTGTTTGTTGAATAGCACAATCAGGAGACTCAATGTAAAAAGTCTTATAGGGAATTCTAAAGTAATGAAATATATTCTAGATTTGATTTCTTCTGTTTATCTCTTACAGAAAAAAATTTACTTCCCCAATCCATGATATTATGAATCCTGGGTTACATCTGGTCCTTGCATAGTTACTGAATTTCTCACACTCACCAGCATCAACTAACAGATTATTTTAAATGTAGGAAAGGGGGGCGCCTGGGTGGCTCAGTAGGTTAAAGCCTCTGCCTTCAGCTCAGGTCATGATCCCAGCGTCCTGGGATCGAGCCCCGTGTCGGGCTCTCTGCTCAGCAGGGAGCCTGCTTCTCCCCTCTCTCTCTGCCTGCCTCTCTGCCTACTTGTGATCTCTGTCAAATAAATAAAATCTTTAAAAAAAAAATTAAAAAAAAAAATAAATAAATGTAGGAAAGGTATTGGATTTTAACTTAATCACCAGCTTCTTGGAAAGAAAAAAAAAATAGGAAAGAAAGAAGAAAGAAACCTCTGTCCAACAGCTGATTTACATTCAGGTCCAAGAAGAAAAATAGCTTTTTTTTTTTTTTTTTAAGGAGAGCAATATTTAATTAACTATTGATTTCTTCTCAATTATTCAAGGCAAGCAATTATCGATATTGATAGAACAGATATTTCCCCACCTTTGGTGCCAAATGAAAGGAAATATCCCATTCAGCAATCTGCTGCCTGGGACAAGAAATGCTGAGAATCTCTAACTTAAAATGGAAACAGTTATTTAGATCTGTTTCTTCCATGTTACCCCAATTAAACAGGTATTTCCTGGAGTGTAAGCAAAACAAAATGCTGAAAACCCATGGATGCTTCTCAAATTAACAACAACCAGTTTCAACCATGAGTGGAACCACTCTACACGTGTAAATTTTTGCATCCCTGCCACAGCTCTTGACATTTTTAACCATGGCACATAAAATACTATAATTTGGGTCTAATATTCAGGATTTCTGCCATCAATGAGAGGCAGCTTATATAATCATGAGATTATATAATGTCTGTCATATTTGTATGCCATATATAATGAATGTCAAAATTTGGAGCCTAAAGGATTTAGGAGGCCTGAATGGTCACTTCTGACATTTGCAGACAGCAAGTGTGGATACTTTTGAAAATTGTACCAATACATTACGCAGCTGTCTTAGAGGTCACTGAGGAAGAAGGTAAAACAAGGCCCCATTTAGGGCACTTTGGTATTAACTCTGTGAGCGTCCACTACCATCTTTCCTGAGCTCATTTGTGTACAAGGCATTAGCACATTTTGAAGGTGACATGACTACTGAACATGATTAATAGACAAGCAACATTCTGTAATGAATTACTACTTGGGGCAGGTTTTTTTGGTTTTTTGTTGTTTTTTTTTAGTACTTTGCACTTGATAGTAATACTGAGAGAGAGAGAGACTGTGTGTGTGTGTGTGTGTGTGTGTGTGTGTGAGTGTTTGTGTTTAATTCATGTGGTCCCCCTGGGGAAATTTGACCATGACATTTTTAAAAAATGAAAAATGTTGTAATTTATAAAAATCTACTTTTTCTGCTCTGCTCCTACCCCCCACCCTGCTCTAGAGTGGTTCTGTATATTAAATACTTAAGCAGCATATGTTGCTGGGAAGTGTTCTTGGCTCTTTTACTCTTTGTTGTTATTTTAATTTCCCTGGATCCTATTTAACATTCTGCTAAATCAGTGAAACCTTGATTATCTAAAAGAATAGGAGATATGGAATTAATGAGGATAACCAGAACTTTGAAATAAGTAATTATTAAAGATGAAAATTACATGGCAGGGACCATGAATGAATTTTAGTGTCTGGAATTGTTTGCTTGATTTATTCAAACCGATTCTATTAATTGACGGACATCGTGAAATTTTGGTAATCAGGGTCTCATCACTGCATTTTTTATTATTGCGGGAAATCAAGGTAACCTTGGATTCTACTTCCCATATTTACAAGGCAATGAATATCCTAATAGGCTGTCAGGGGCAAATATGACTGCTTGTCCTCACTCTCCTCCCATGAAACCACTTTCTCTCTTCTGATCTGGCTGCCGCCTGCCTGGAGCATGCTGCCTGCCCCTGTCCCATACCCTCTCTCCTCACTCCCTGTTGGCTCTGTCTTCCCGCATGCAGCCGCTGGAATCACCTGAAGGGAGAATGGCCCACCCCCTTGGAGGTTCTTGGTCATTTTAGCAATAGTGCTTTGCATTTTAACTACCATTCATCTGACTTTAAAACTCTGCATTCTTGTATCGGTCACTTGTCCTTTAAAAACGCAGGAGGTCACAACAGGTCCCAGTTCTATGAAGAGAAGATACTGCCAAACCAGGAGTATTCCATTACTTTGTACTCAATAGCCTGAAATGGGCAATACTACCCAAGATCACACCAAAAAATCTATACGAAAAGGATAAATATGATTTAAAACACACACATACACACAAAGGCAGCAAACTATGTTTGTTTGGAAATTGGGAATCACATGCTTAGTTTGTCGCGGGGGCGTGGGGGGGCACAAGATCGATAGAGTTTTTGTTTTGTTTTTTTTTTAAACTGAAAACATGTTGTACTAGATGAACTGAAATTGATTCTGCTTCTTCTCCCCGCGCCCCACCCCACCCCCACCCCCCCGTTCTGCAGCGAATGTCTGCGACAATGAGCTCCTGCACTGTCAGAACGGAGGGACGTGCCACAACAACGTGCGCTGCCTCTGCCCAGCCGCCTACACGGGCATCCTGTGTGAGAAGCTGCGGTGCGAGGAGGCGGGCAGCTGCGGCTCCGACTCCGGCCACGGGGCGCCCCCGCCCGGCTCCCCCGCGCTGCTGCTGCTGACCGCGCTGCTGGGCACCGCCAGCCCCCTGCTGGTCTAGGCGAGCTACGGGCCACCAGCCCGGCCAGGGCCCGCCGCGGCGAGGGGGACCAGGGGGGAGGCCAAGGCGACCTGCAAGCATTCGCTACCAACAACATAGGAAACACACACTCAGACACCCCCACTCCAACACCGTGTACAAACTAAGAAGGCCTAACTGAACTAAGCCATATATCTATCAGCCGCGGACGGCACACCCGAGTCAAGACTGTTACATTTCTGACTCCGGAGAAGTTGCCAGCTGTCGATAATCACCGCAAATCAGCCGGCCCGCTGCGGAGCTTCTCGCCGACTGGGAAGGCTGCGACAACCCCCCACCCACACAGGAAAGACAACAAACAAAGCAAGCAACCTAAAACCATTCGCTGCTCTCCCGTGGGGTGCCCCGGCACCACTGGCCCGGTGTGTGGACCAACCAAATAGAAGCGTTCCTTGCTGGCAGTGCACTGTGGGTATAAGGAAGTCTGTTACAAGCTGCCATATTGGCCTGCTTCGGTCCCTGAACCCTTTCCAACCTGTGCTTTAGTGAACGTTGCTCTGTAACCCTTGTTGGTTGAAAGATTTCTTTGTCTGATGTTAGTAATGCACACGTGTAACAGCCCCCCTCCAAAAGCTCAAGCCAGTCATACCCCGTCTATCTTAGCAGCGCTGAAGTCATTCCCAGTGCGAGCACACATCCACTGTCCCAGAGTGGCTCTAGGAAAAAAGAAAGTGTATCTATCCTTTTGTATTCAAATGAAGTTATTTTTCTTGAAATACTGTAATATGTAGATTTTTTGTATTCTTGCCAATTTGTGTTACCAGACAATCTGTTAACGTATCTAATTCGAAGCAGCAAAGACTGACATTTTATTTTGTCCTCTTCCGTTCTGTTTTTGTTTCATTGTGCAGAGACTTCTCTGTAAGGGCAACGAACGTGCTGGCATCAAAGAATATCAGTTTACATATATAACAAGTGTAATAAGATTCCACCAAAGGACATTCTAAGTGTTTTCTTGTTGCTTTAACACTGGAAGATTTAAAGAATAAAAATTCCTGCATAAATGATTTCAGGAATTTGTATTGCAGTTTCTTAAGATGAAAGGAGCAGCCACCAAGCAGTTCCACACTCACTTTACTGGTTTCTATGTGGACTGAATACATTCAGCTGACGATTTAGTACCCAGGAAGATGGATTGATGTTCACTAGCTTGGACAACTTCTGCAAAATACGAGACTATTTCCACTTGGGAAAAATTGTAACAGCAAAAAAAAAAAAAAAAAAAAAAAAAAAAATTCTAAATGATTGCCAAGATCATGCCAAAGCCTGTTGGCAGAGTACTAAGAGACTTTGATTTTTAAGTCATGCTATTTTCACAGATTGATGTGATCATGTGACTCTAGGGATGCTGATCTCTGTACCTTCACAAATGCAGTGTTTACATGGAGTATCATGAGAGGCAACCTGGAGAACCAGGAAGGTGGCAGGGAAATTGAGTGATTAGCTATTTGATTGAATATATTCAGACTTAGCATTTAGAGGAAATATCAACATATACAGCAGCAAGTTAGACATAACTGCTGTTCCTGAGAATAAAGTTTGTTTTAAGTACCACCCAAGGTGTAATAAATTGTTTCTGCCTTTTATCAGGCCAATGAATGTGCCAGACAGCAAGGGCAGGGGGGTGTGGGGGAACCCTTGCAAAGTCTCAAAGTGGCTCAAAGAGTGTATGTTCCGTTCCCAGCACACTGTTGTCCCACGGCTTACAAATGTGTTAGCAGCAGCAGCTCCTGGAATCAAAAACAATTATCAGCCCAAGCCAGAGTCTATTGGACAATGAAGTCCTTCATGACTTGGTAGAGCAATAATCCATGATAGCGTTAGGTTGGAAGCCTGCTCCCAGGCTGAATTCTTCACCCCGCCATGGGCCAGGGAGGGAGAGGGTGTCTTCTGATAAATAACCTGGGTGAAAACTAGATGAAGGAACATCATGTCTTATTGGTTTTGTTCCCAGAAAAGCCAATTCAAAACAGGCAATAAAAGGTAAACAGGTAATGCCTGTGCTGCCTGCCACCCCACATCTAAGTCGATTGAATGTTTGTTATTCAAACCAACAGTCTCTTTTGATGTAAGAAATAAAGAAAGAGGGAAATAAATTAGAGCTCTGGCTTAGTGCCAGGGTGGCCAACCAGAAATTGGAGATTTACATTAGAAGCATAAACAGCAAATTATATTTCAGACTCACCAAAGAGAAAACATGAAAATGCTGATAACATACAGAGTTTGAGATTACTTATAATGAGGTGGATTTCTCATATTAAAATTGGAATTTAGGATGTCTTATAGTTTATTAGCACAAACCAAAGGCAGACTGTGTTATTTCTAGCAACGATGCACTTTATCATTTATCCACTCATGGCTTTGTCACAATGCTCAGGAATCAGGCTCTGCACATTGCAATACATGGGATTCCAAAAGCTAATTCTAAAATTTAATGAAGGCTTGATCTAAATCAGTTCATCTGCATTTTATCTTTATGAGGCTATAAGAATCTAAATTGATGAGGAATATCTTGCGTTCCATGTATTTAGATATAGTTTTCTGAATTTCCTGAAGTGATGTGATCTGCTTTTAATAAAAATTCACTTTTAGGTATATAACAAATGGAAATGAAATGTTCTTTTTCATCTGGATTCTCAAGTTCTTCTAAAGGGTTTATTCCTTTGAAGAAACCCCAACTCCATGGATTTTTATTCATCTGCTGCTCTCCAGCATTCTTGCAAAGTGGGTTCTATCTACGGTATTATGGCTTTGAGAACAGGACTCAGCTGAAAAGTGCGGACTAAGTTGTTCACATACTTAAGGTCCCAGTTCTTGCTTTGTCAGTTTTCCCTCAGAGTAAAAATATAATTCCATCCATCAACACTGCGAATGAGCATAAAACTGCAACAAAATTTTTGTCTGAAGCCTCAGCTATATACAAAGTATCTCTAAGACAGTAATTAGACTGTCCAGCTGTGATATGGGAGAGATTGGTTTCTGACCCAGTACCAGCCGAGAGGGAGCACTTCAGCCCCGGTGAACAGGGACCCTTGCTTAGAGGTGCCCATCCTGACCCTCTTGTCACTTGGTTTTGGTAGCTGGGAACCTAGTATTTCCTACCTAGATGACCTCCAGCCACTTTAAGGGCATGTATGCCCCTCTGCTGGGGGCCCCAGTTCCTAAAGGCAAGCAGCATCGTGCATCATGACTGGACATTCCTGGGTGCAAGGTATGACCAACAGTGAGTCTGTGTGGGTAGATTAGTGAATCAGTCCTGGCGCTGTACCCTGGAAAATTCTCACATGAGCGAGAAGCTGCCCCTTGTGGTGCAAACCAGAGCTCAGGGATGGAAGGAAAGGGGCTTAAGGATGGGAGGGAGAGACTAGGGCTGCCTCAGGGCCAGGGTCCAGGATGGAAGGTACTCTGAGCTGGCTAAGGACTGTACATCAATACCTGGGTTTCCAATTCTTACAAAAGCATTTGCGTCGAAGTGGCAGATTGGAACGTAATTTATTCAACCCTGTGTTAGCTTGCCGTGTAACTTTTAACTGTTTAGCCATGTGGCACATGGGTTTTCATTGGTATTTTTGTCCTGGTCCCCACCTGGTGGATCTGCCTGGAAGGAAACACTGCACCAGGAACACTTGAATCAAATCACTAAATTGACACAAATCACTCACCTGGGTAAGAGAAAGGTGCATGTTGGGGGACAGCATGGGCTACAGTTCAGGAGTTCCTCTAGTGAATGTTCCGCCACACCCTACCAGCCGCACCCTTTCTCAGACCTGCGCTGTGGCCTTCCTGAGTGGTAGGAAGTTTGGGATGGGCTGGGAGGCAGCTGTGAGGAAACCCTGAAGTAAGGTCTTTTGTCCCATTGCCTCCTCTCTCCCATCAATAATCCAGTATCACTAGGATGTAAAGACCCCATACTCTGAAATGGGTGCTCTGTGCATTATGGGATATGGGTTTGTTGTACCTCACCTGTTGTTGAAAATTGAATAAGATTACCTGTTCAACAGTTTCTCTGCTCACAGCCTTGCACAGAAATCTGTGGGAACTTCGAAATACATGTTCTATATATTTTTTACATATGGGACTCTCTTTTTTTTTTTTTTAAGATTTTATTTTTATTTATTTGACAGAGATCACAAGTAGACAGAGAGGCAGACAAAGAGAGAAGAGGGGAAGCAAGCTCCCTGCCGAGCAGAGAGCCCGATTCGGGGCTCGATCCCAGGACCCTGGGATCATGACCTGAGCCAAAGGCAGAGGCTTTAACCCACTGAGCCACCCAGGTGCCCCAGGACTCTCTCATGATCTGGTATAGTTTAAAAACTTCAGCTTCAGAAATCTGAATGGAGTTCCTTCCCCACTATGTTTATTCCCAGTCGTCCTTGGTAAGGATGGGGATGGTAACAAGCTATATGTTAGAACAACATGAATAACCAGGTAAAACAACAGGATTCTTTTTAATCCAATTGGACAGCCTTAATGGTATATAGGAATGAAAAATAAAGTTAAGGAGCATCCCAGAGTTTTGATCCAAATGTCTGGTTGTGAGCAATTGGCCTCAGAAAATCAGGACTAGATTCTAATCCATTTTCTAAGAAATACTGAATATTGATCTGGCACAAATATTCCTACAGTTCTGACCAGTCCCATATAGAAGAGTTTTTCCCTTTTAACCACATTTTCACTTTCTTACACTAAAAGTACCTTTTCCCTTTAGTTACCTAAAACAGATGCCGAGGATTTCCCACCATAAACTGCACATAAACCTAATATGATGTCAGAAAAGATTAAGAATGCCAACTATCACATTTGGAATTTTCACCAGTATCTTGGGAACTTGGAGCCCTTTTACTCTCTGCAACACCTGGGAAGGTGTGACTCATACTATTTTCATTTTGCATCTGAAGAATCAAATAACTAAGAAACAGATATATTCCTTGTATAAATTATATGATTGCATTTAGTTAGAAATGAGATAACATCTGTGAAAAACCCATATTAATATTTAAAAATGCAATTATTTGAGATCCATCATGGCAGAAAAATTCTGCTCCTAACACATTTTTCGAGTAGGTCCTGATAAAGCCTCTCAAGAAGACTTAAATGATTTTAGGGGTGTATTTACATTTGTACAGTTGAGCATCTAATCCTCCTCCTACCTTCTCCCGTCACCCAAGAGCTGCTTTTAATTGATGGGTGAATTAAAATAGAGTAGTAACATTTAAAATTATGTGATGTTTTTATTAACCTGAAATGATAGCTGGTGAAATGGGCCATTATTCCGTGAGACCTAATTATGTTAACACTGAAGATTTAGCGAGGCTAGCAGAAGCGAACTACAGAGAATTGGAAGGAAAAATAAGACCCATTTTCCTAACACAGTCCCAGATTTTCAGAGGCATCACGCACTATTATTTAATTAGTGAAGTATGAATCGTATGGGGGGGCTGACTAGAAGAGAGAAAAAATAATTACTATCTCTCCTACATCTGTCTGCCTCGACTCTGAAATTCCTGCGTGGCGAGAATGTGTCAAGTTCCGTTAAAGACATAACGTGCCGCAGTGTGTCTGTTCCCGCCGCCCTGCCCTGATAGGACTGCATTCCAGCTCTGCTCTTACAAGACGCAGTCATTCTAATCTAACAAAAGAAGGAAAATGGCAGAAAATCACACACCTGAAGTCCTGTTAAGAATAGGTGATTCTCTTTGCCCCAGGCAGGCAAGAACATAATGTCATTTTTGTGCGTTTGTATTTGCGCTCGGAAAGAGGCCCTCTCCTGTGGGGGAATGGTTTTCCCTCTGTCGGTGTGAAACACGGCGAGAAAAACATTCTCCAAGGAAATAGCATTTTGAAATTTACCAGTCCGTGCCTACCCCTGTGAAGTCCTGAGTAATTGTTTTGGCTTCCGTGGTGTGATAAACACCTAAAGGCAGAGATTAGTGTCATCACTCCCCGTCTATTTTTCTCCCCCCTGGGGGAGGGGAGTGGGAAGCGTGGGGCCAAGGATGGGAAGTCGACATTTGCAAGAATCCTCCAGTCGGCTGATGCCTAATTATGAGGACCCCAGCTAAATATTTAGTTTATTAAATTAATAGTGTGACAAGCATTGGAGTAGTTTTACAACCACTTAAACTCGTGTTTACATCCTGTGTAATTACAATTCATAATTGAGAAAGCAGTCAAATCTAAATGCATTCTGATCAATGGTTCTCATTCTGCCAAGTAGACCCAGCAGCACACATGATAGCAAGGGACTCTTAAAAGTGAATTTCTTTCTACACCTAGACTTCAAACCAGATTCAGGGAGGGAAATGGAGGGATTCTAGCAGTAAAGTGCTTTGAATCACATATAAGCTTTTGTGTGTATATGATCCCCCCACCCCGGGTGGAGAACCTATTACAGTTCTTTTTTTTTTTTTTTTTATAAAAGGCCTTAAAGTATAAGGATGACAGCTCTAAAACCTATGATTGAAATTTATCCTAACTATGGAAGTCCCATTAAATAATAAATTGTAGCAGGTGATGAGTGAAAATAATATGAAGGTATTTGAAAGTACATGTCCAGCAATCAGCTCTTTATTCATTTCATACTGACCTTCCTTGCCTAAGCTGCTAA